CAGGATCACAAGTCCGCATCTTGTACAGCAATTAACCACTAAGAAGAATATATGCAGTGTATTATTTGTTGAAACTGTCCTTCTGATTTGATTTGAAACTGTCTCATTGCTATCTGTTTGTCAATAAAACTTTGAAAAAAAAATGTGGATGTACTTAATGACACTTATCTTAAAATTATTGAAATAATATTTTGGTACACATATATACATATATGCCCCAGTTTTTCAAATAACCAGAGGACTTATGAATGAGGTCAGCCAAAAATTAATGAATGTTGAGAACAGAGTGGAAAGCTTGGAATTATGTCTTTGGTCCTGGAATCTGGATTGTCCACCTGGCTCAAGATGAAAGTAGATAACAGTGAGAACTGATCCTTGTGAGGGTGCAACAGATCTTCATGTCCTCGGGAGCTACAGGAAGGAAGATAGTAATTAAGTCTCCTTTCCCAAGAGCTTCCTTCTTCATCTGTGGTCATGTTATCTATGAAAGTTTGACTGGGATTTTCTGTATCACTACCATTGGAAATCATGGGGCTTAATGCAAGGTATCACAACTAGCTCTGCAGAGTATAAAGAAAGATCAATGTCCAGGAATTAGTCATGAGAATGTGGCATCTAGGTAATCACCATGGAGGAACTTGATTATCCCTAGGACTTTTACATTTCCAATCTTAGGTACCTGAGAGTCTTGCCATCTAAATCCTTGAGTCACTTACTAATAAAAATGTCACAATCTCCCAAGGGAATCAGACACATAACCTTTAATACAAACACATGGTCATTCTTCAGAAAAACCATAACTTTTTCAGCCATATTTTTAAAATGTTTATTATCACTATGCCTAAAACCACTCACATTCTAGGCCAAGTTCAACAATGTCACAATTACTAAAGAGGTCAAATTACTTTTCAAAACTGTATTATGCAAGTCTCCAAAACTATAGTCTAGAAATATCTCTAACTCCACTTTCAGTGCATTTCTAAAACTAATCACCAATGATGTCTGTGGAGACCAAGTGGGACCTAGAGAGAGACCTTGACAGTCTCCTGGGCAAAGATTACACCAGAGATAATTATTAACACTCTGGGAACTTGAGAGGGCAGTGCCAAACCCTGAAGCCCATGGAAGTCTCCTTAAAAGAATCCAGAAAGAATTCCTTAAAAGAATCTATAGTCAATGATGGCTGTGAGAATGGACAGCAGAGAGCAGCTGACCCACAAACTGAAGTTTCAGGAGGTGTAGCTCTTGTGTTTGGGTGGTTTTCTGCAGAAATAGAGTTGGAAGGAAACTCAGACTTCTCTTCTACATGGACCCTGGGTCCTTAGGAAGCAAAATTTTGGAGGAGAACAAGGTTCAACAAAGTGAGTTTTATTCACTTCTGTTCTGTAGAGTTGACAAAACTGACTTCCTACATTTGGATAATTTAACATTATTCCCATTATTTGTAATTTAGAATTCAAAAACTCAATGATTTCTGAAAAAATACATATATTAAGATTAATTTATACTTTTATAAGACAGCAAAAAAGTTGGTAGAAAGTAAAACCTTGAACTGTCAGAGTTTCCTAATTGAAACAACTCATTTTCTGAGTAAATCTAGGCAATGAAAACCAAATAAGCTAAAGTGTGCAAACTGGAGGATTTCACTAGAGAGATAATGGTTTCAGTGTCTACTTACCAGATCCCCAAGTCCAGTGAAAACTGTGTTCCATGTGTGGGGACAGGAAGAAAGCAGTGGCAACATGAGGTCTAGTCAGAGGAATCCATAATCAACCAGAACCACATCAATGCACCATGAAGTGTTTTTCAAAATTTTATTGTTTTTCAGTGTCCCACAGTCTGCCCAGAGTCTGCCAAAGTTCTTAAATGGGGCCAGCAAGGCTCTGCACCTGTGCCCACCAGGCCCACAGATCGTAGCTTTCCTGCATCCCGCAGGACCCCAAATTTTTAAGATTAATTTGATTGAGCTAATGTCCTTTCACTGAAGTAGTTCTTGTCATTGCATGCTTAACCTATAATTTAGTGATATGCAGTGTAAATAAATTTGGACAAAATAGCAAAAAATATCCATAGGAAACTCTTTCTGTAATCTAACAAGCTAGATGCTTTTAAGAATGACTGAAGCCATTATAAAACACCAGCGTTACTATTTGTGTCTCATGAAATTTGCTGAATCTGGACACTTCTGTTCATAATGGCTTGAATGTATTATTTTTTCCTAAATTTCATATTGCCATTTTGAAGTTAGAATCTGTGAACTGTATCAATTAATAATAATAACAAGGTCACCACCTACAGATGCCATGAATATAAAAATAACTCAGAGACCTGGATATGAAATTTTTCCTCATTTCTACTGAAGGTGAGAAATCCTTATGCTGATATTTGTGTACAGAAATGTTTTTGAAAAAAGAAATTTGAAATTTTTGGCAGGGATTGAGATACAAAGGAGGAAAAGAGAGGAAATTAAGTAAATTATCACAAGTTCTTGTGCACCACTATCACAGATTTGCTCTCAAAAGAATAAATCTAGTCATTTAAGAAAATTATTTACACATTCAATATTTCAAAGTACTGAGAAAATGAAATAGTATATCATCTCAGTTACTCAAATTTATTCCAAAATGAGAAATTTTATCATATTAGCTGGCTCAGATATTTTCATCTTAAAAAATTCTGGGTGAAGTCGTGCTCCATTTCATTGCATTTGTAAAGGGTAAGGAGGAAAATTTATCTAGAGTATAATACTTTATGGGGAAAATCTTCAACTGAAAAGAACATTTACTTGTTATTACTAGAATAATACTGTTAGTTATCCCTGTGAGAAAAATCCACCTTTCACAGTGTGTAGAGCTATAAAGTGAGTTTTGATATCAATTGTATGTCAAGATTCATTCCTAAAAGCACTTTGCTTTATTGTGATACTTATACGGAATTATCACTATTCATTTGAAATTAATCAGAGAAAGTTAACCTTCTACAATAGCTTTTGAAGGAGCAGGTGTGCTTCATTGACTGCATAGAGCAATACTAGCAAGCAGATGAGGAGATTTACATTTTCATATTTATAATAATACAATAATACTGTGATCATTTTCAGGTGCCTCATATGCCCACACCCACAATGACTGATGCAAACGATGAGAAATGTAACAGAATTCATCCTCCTGGGCCTCACGCAAAACCCACAACTGCAGAAACTCTTATGCATTGTGTGTTTCCTGATCTATCTGATCACAATGGCGGGTAATGCACTCATCTCGCTCACCATCTTCATCAGTCCTGCCCTGGCTTCTCCCATGTACTTTTTTCTCTCCTACCTGGCCATTATAGATGGTTTATACTCCTCAAGCATAGCTCCCAAAATGGTCTTTGACTTGGTCTCTGAAAACAGCACCATATCCTTCAATGGCTGCATGATTCAGCTCTTTGTTGAACACTTTTTTGCTGCGGCTGAGATCATCCTGCTCATCGCCATGGCCTATGACCGCTACGTGGCCATCTGCAAGCCCTTGCACTATGTGACCCTCATGAGCCGACCTGTGTGTGCTTTCCTGGTGGGTGCTGCTGTGCTCTTAGGATTTGTTCATGGGGGGATACAGGTTTTGTTTATAGCCCAGTTACCCTTCTGTGGCCCCAACATCATGGATCACTTCATATGTGATTTATTCCCAGTCCTGGAGCTGGCTTGCACTGACATTCACAGTCTGGGGCCCCTGATCGCTGCCAACAGTGGGTCACTGTGTTTGCTCACTTTTTCTATACTGGTTACTTCCTATGTCATCATCCTGTGCTCCCTGAGGACATACAGTTCTGAAGGGCGCCACAAAGCCCTGTCCACCTGCACCTCTCATGTCACAGTTGTTGTCTTATTTTTTGTGCCTTGCACATATCTCTACCTGAGACCTGCGACCTCTTTCCCTGCTGATAAAGCTGTGACTGTGATTTTTACCCTAATAACACCTATGCTGAACCCTTTAATCTACACCCTCAGAAATGAGGAAGTAAAAAGGGCTATGAAGAAGCTCTGGGACCAAATAATGAAGAGGGATATTGAATGAATCTTGTGATTTGAGTATTTAGACAAGACTACTTAGTAACATTTTATGGAGATTTATTGAACTTACTAACACTGGTTAGTTAATTCTGTTGTCTGCATCTAATTATTTTATTGACATGCTAATAGTATATATTTAAAGATAAAAAGAGATAATTCAGCACAGGTTTATAATTATGTTGATCAAATTAAAGCACAGCTAATCAAATTAATTAGCACTTCCATCTCTTTAAAACTGTATCATATCTTGTATTGGCAGCCTTTAAACTCTTGTAATTTTGTACAAAGTACCGTAAATAACTGTGGATTACAGTCACTGGGCAATAGAACTCATTCCTCCTAACTATTTCAATACCCATCATTGAAACATCCTGCCCCACCCCACACCCCTGTCCTCCTGTTCTCCATCCTTCCTAGTTTTTAGTGACTACTTTTCTTCTGTCAGCTTCTATGCATTCAACTTTACATATGGAGAAGCAAAAGAATGCTCTGAATACAAACAATTCATGCAGCCAACTGAGAGTCCTGTAAGCAAAAACTGGGTCACAGAACTGCATGATAAGGTTCACCAATCTGAAATGTAGAAAGAATCCAAAGCACAACTTAATGCAATGCCAAAAGATTCAGAAAGAGCCAAGTGTTTTGAAACCACAGAGGAAAAGCTTTGGATTAAACATCCTCATTCTTGACTTTGTTCCAAGCATTAATTATCATCATAAATGTAAAAAAAGACGCTTCAGTTCTCTACCTGGTTCTTCATCAGGAATGGGGAATCACATTACACACTTCCTTAAACACAGAGAATTAAATTATCTTCATTGAAATCAGGTGTCAGTTGGAAAAAAAAAAAATCTGCTCAAAGGCTGTACAAGGTTCAAGGATGTCACCAGCTCATAACGGATGCCAGCGGCTGCAGTTCCAGCCAGAGCAACTGGCGGACACCGCTCCTGTCCTTTGGTAGCCATGATCAAGGCGGACAAGACCTCTGTTTCAACCTCTCACTTTAAAATATGTCATAAATGCCATCTGTTTCTGGGTAGGGACATGACAACAATGAGACCATCCTGTCAAGGGTGATTAATGAGGCCAGTGTCCAAGTCTCTGAAAACTAGTGACATTAATTACCTCCTATTCCAGGATTAAAATGCCATCCAGCTCTCTGTAGCTACAGATGTCTTAGGCCATAAGAGTGACTCTGAGATGCCTAAGCAGAACTCAATTCAAAGCTCTCCTACAGGACTCTGCCTTATTGCCTTTTTTGTTTTTGAGGTTTCTCATTCAACAGAAACCATGTGATAGCTCAACATCTGTGTCTGATTTATCTTAACTTTCAGGGTAGGAAACAGGGACAGAAAGCAGGAGATCAGAAGGGGGAGAGAGAGGAGAGTTGGGAGAAAGTAGATAAACATGGTCAACATCATGTACTAAATGCACTTATTACTGGCTGCCCTGAAAAGCCATCTTCGCGTTGTTCTCGACCGGCTCCCTGCTTCCTGCAGCCACGCCCGCCGTGCACCTCCATCAGGTCTCCTGGCAGCTGTCAGGAGACCAGACAGAGCCCCCGAACTCTCGCTTTCTTTTTCACCCGCTGCACTGAACCAGCACCGTGCCCCACCATGTCAAACGTGGCCGTGGACACAAGCTCAGAGATCACCACCAAGGACTTGAAGGAGAAGAAGGAAGTTGTGGAGGAGACGAGAACTGCAGAGACGTGCCCACGAACGGGAACGCTAATGGGGAGAATGGCGAGCTGGAGGCCGACAACGAGGTAGACGAGGAGGAGGAAGGTGGGGAGGAAGAAGAGAAGGAGGAAGAGGAGGAGGAAGGGCAGGGGGAGGAGGAGGAGGAGGAGGAAGGTGATGGTGAGGAAGAAAACGGAGACGAGGATGGGGAGGCACAGGCAGCTAAGGGCAAGCGGGCAGCTGAGGACGACGATGTGGATACCAAGAAGCAAAAGGCCGAGGAGGATGACTACAAGGCATAAAAGGAAGTTAACTTAAAAAAGGCCACGGTGACCTATTCAGCCTCCACTTCCGTCTCGGAATCTAAACGTGGTCACCTCCTAGTACAGAGGCCTCGCCAGCTGGGGCAGCGCCATCCGCAGACTCGCTCTCCACCGCCGCCCCACCGAAACCACACCCGAATTTGCAACGGGGGGGGGGGGACCAAAGCTTCCAAAGCCCTGCTTTTTGTCTTAAAAGTACTTTTAAAAGGAAAATTTGTTTTTATTTTTTATGTTTGATACTTTTGTACATATTGTTAGAGGTCAGCCAGTTTTGATGATCGTGGATGATCTAACCGGCCTTCCGAGAGTCCTCTGTCCTACTTCCGACTGTACTTGTGATGTGACCATGTTCATTATAATCTCAAAGGAGAAAGAAAAAAACTTGTAAAAAAAAAAAAGAAAAAGAAAGAAAAAGAAAAACAACAATAAAAAAGCAATCTTATTCCAAGCGTTCCGGTAACTTTTTGTGTACGTACTTAGCTGTACTATAAGTAGTTGGTTTGTATAGGATGGTTAAAAAGCCCAAAGATAAAACGTTTCTTTTTTTTTTTTTTTTTGTCTGTGAAGCTGCTGCTTATGTATGTATGTATGTATGTATTGACCTGTTTGCTGTATGTGTGAAACAATGTTGTCCAACAATAAACCAGAATTTTATTTTGCTGAGTTGTTCTAACAAAAAAAATGCAATTATCATGCACTGCACAAAATAAACACATTAACACAATAATGGGCACTGCCCTCTTCTGGTTCTCTGGAGAAAAGAGACACCAGTGCCTGTACCGGAAGGCCTCTTTTTGGACTGTTCTGTGGTCTCTGTGGGTGAGCTCAGATATCCAAGCCAAGGATTTCAGGATTGCCTGCACTTGACATTTCCTGTGTCCCCAGAGGGTAAGGAGGCCGGCCCTCACAAGCATCACAATGGAAGATGCTGCACCTTAATCTCCTGCAGCTGTTTGCTTTAGAAATCATATGAAACCAAGCCTGGCAAGCACAAGGTATGAAAGTGTGCTTTTAAAACTGAAAGTCATCTCTCGAAAATGGGGTTTTAAACCTCAAGAAAAACAGGATGAAAAATAAGATCATGTAAAAATAAGAATGATGATGAGCCAGGGATGGTAGCACACACCTGTGATCCCAGCTCTTGGGAGGCTGAGACAGGAGGATCCCATGAGGTCAGGGCTAGTATGAGCTACATAGTGAGCTCAAAGCCAGCCTGGCTCAAAAAAATGAACAAAAGGGAATGAAAGACTAAAAAATGATGATGTTGACAATAATAATGATAGAGATTGTGATGGCAGCAGTGGTAGGAATGAAGATGAAAATAGCTAACATTCATGGAGCATTTTCGAGGAAGAAACCCTGACCTAAGCACCCATTTTCATTTTGGATGCAGTGAATTTCCTTTTGTGATTTTCTATTCTATTTTATTTTTATTTTATTTTAACTGACAGAATTGTACCTGTTTGTGTACAACATGGTGTTTTGATATATATATACACTGTGTTAGTTGATACATTGTGTCAACTTGGCTGAATCAGCTCAGGCAGTATGGGGGCCTGCCCTTCAGGTGAGCAGGGCCCAGGAATTGAGAAAGGCAGGAAGCCTACCTGCCTGGTTTTCTGCTGCCCCGCCCTGCTTCAGTGGAGAAGTCTCAGTCTTTGAATCTCCGCAGCCGCGCAACTTTGGAGGAGCTCCGATCTTCACTGCGCTGGTCTTCGCAGCCAGTGCCAAAGGAAGAGAGAGGCTTGATGGACCCTGCTGCCGCTGATGCTCCTCCTCTGCTCTTCATTGTTTTTGTTATGGGTCAACTCTCCATAGGAACCAGAGATTTGTTTTTTGTTTTTTTGTTTTTTTTTTTTTTTTTAGCCTGAAAGGCCCAGTGTAAATGAATATC